GTTACCAACTCATCAATCAAAGCAAAGATTGAAGGCTTGTTCTCGACCGCAACGGCCCGTAATGGATCTAACGTTCATGTCAGTGATGGACGTGAAAATGTGTCGTTTACTGGACTTTACCCTGGTGCCACCTATAACATCTCTCTTGTCTATGAAAAGTCTTCCAGAGTTTTCCTGCAGTGTGAACACAAATTAACAATTCGTGAGTACAACAGAAACCATTTGAAGGACTAGAATCTGTAAATTAGTTTTTAAGATCTTAAAGTATTCACTCATATTGGTTACAGAAAGGTTATCTGTGAATTTATTTAATTTAATTTTTAATTTTTAGTTTTCACCCTTGCATTCAATTTTTAATCTTAAAAAGGTTTATTGCAGAAAAATAATTTTGTTAACATACCTACATACCACAGGTTAACACAGTTACATAATATGATTCAGTATTAATATATAAGCTTTAACTAACTATCATTTTATTACTAACTGAAGAATTCATTCTGATGAATTAGCTCAAGAAATTAAAAAGGTTAAAACAGAAAATGAGTAATTCTTTCAATATCTAATGTGTCAATGTTGAGGTCTTTATTTTTAGTTTTTATATGAAAATTCCAAAAATATAATAAACTTTATAAACTGTAGGGTACTGCTTTGAATTAAAAGTAAAACAAATAATCTTTCTATTTGAGAACAAATTTTAAAATGATGCACTTTTCATAGACTCTGTTTTATAGTATAAAAAGTTTAATTATACTCACTGTAAGTCATATATTTTCTGCTTTAGTTTTGACTGTAAAACCTTTTTCTTGTTTTACTCAGTTCCTCCTAATCTAAATGCTCACTGTGAGTACTGGGCAGCTGGATACTCTGTTCTTATTAAATGGACAGTTCCAGAGGGCGAGTGGACCAATGCGGAGGTGAATGTGGCTGGAAAGACTCACACAGTAGCTAGTCCTGAAACTGAGATCATAATCGATGGATCCCAACCTGCCAAAAAATATAAGGTGTCTGTAACTTCACTGTCTGGGGTGAGGAGTTCTGAACCGCATGTGTTTTACTGCCAAACTGATCCAAGGGGTGAGTAAAAGTAACTACATTACCATGTTACTGCTTGTAATCATAACAACATACAGTATTTTCAACTTTGACTTGATTACAAATCGTTTCATTTCACTCAAGTTTAAAAATAAACCTCTACATTTTTTAACTTCGTTGTATTTTAATAATGCTTTTGCTCCCTTTAGAAGTTAATTTACTTGAGTTATCTTCGTCTAATATGAAATGTGTGATCTGAAAAACCTCATTTTAACAAATATGCAAAAAGCTTAGAAGTCATAAAGAGAGCACTGTATACTGTCCCTAAATGCCATTTCATTGACACAGCTATTAAATTTGACAAAACATAAATAGTCTGTCTCAATGCTACAACACAAAACATCCCTAATTTAAATTTAACTGGCGCCCACTCAGGTTCATTTGTGCTGAGACTCTTCCGCCATCTAGTGGTCTTCAGTCCTTACTGCTTTTCTACTGGTCTGCTTCTGTCTATCTACTGGAGCAGGAAGATGACAAACAATCCAGCTGTCTCCATGGAGATGACCAAGTGTGATGGAGGAGGAGATGAATTATATGAAGACTATGACAATGTCACAGTGCTTGGCACCGAGCATGACTTCTAAGCAGAAGAGACCAGTTAAGTACTTGGTTAGTTTAAAAACTAGATAAAAAATATTCTACTAAGTACTCTAAGTACTCAATTTAGATTAAAAAGTACTCATTTTTAGGCAAGAAAAGTACTAGTTTCATATGGCGAAAGTATTGTTTTAGTTTAGTTTAGTTTAGTTTAGTTTAGTTTAGTTTAGTTTAGTTTAGTGCGCTCTCTGCCCTGTCTTAGAAACCACACTTTTTCCCGTGGAGGAAATGTAATCTGAGGAGCTGTCCTGTCAGCACTTAGCTTTGGCACAAATTGATGCAGAAGACACTGCCAGTGCCAAAGTGCCTTTTGACTTTGCTTCATGTGATCTGTGTGTGTTTGTGACCGCTTAGGCTTTCTCTGAGGAGAATCTGTGAATTGCTTTGTTGACCGGTCTCTGCTGTGTTTGTTCCTGTGTTAGTTAGTAGTAGCAGCCCGGCACTTACTTTAAGATTCATCTTTAATAAAAACCTTTTGTTTTTGCTCGTGATTGTGTCTCACTGTCTCCTTTTTTAGACAATTGTGTTACTTCTCCACATAACCCTCAGTGTTGCAAATTTCATGATACTTCCCATGTCCTCTGTTTGCATCTATCACCTTCTGAGCCTTGTTCAAACACTGCATGTTGATAGATTTAAAAAAGAAAAATTTAGAAGCATTAGAATGAATGTCCTGTGATCAGTAAGATGGGAATGTTACTGTAAAAGTTCACCCTGTGTTCAAAGAGGGGGAAAAAAATTGCAATCGAAGCAGTTAAAAAGAATGCGCTCTCTCATGTTCAAGAAATCTGTTTAACCATGTAACATTAATATGATGAAAAACTTGTTCCAAATCGGCTCTATAGGAGTTTACTTTTATGTAATATTGTTATAAAACCCCTGATGTCTTCAAATGATCCAAAATTTTAGTTTGTAGTGTTTGCTTTTATTTTTAAAGACTAATCTATGGTGCAAAAATATGTCCATCCAAGCCGAACAACTGCTGAACATCTGGCTGTATTGCAGAGGAGCTATTACAGTTTCCAGATTTGTTGGGATATGTTGTTCCTAATGACAACCAGTAGGGGGAGACAGAGACAGCTTTTCCTTACCCACAAATAAAGCATGGTCCACATTTCTATTTGACAGTTTATAGTAGGAGTCACAATGGCACAGTATCAGCAGTAAAAGAAGATATATTTAATTAAGTTATTTTGTTGGTTTTACTACTACTACTACTAATAATAATAATAATGCTCAGATTATGACTTCAGTTAGACTTCATACAGATCCCCGTGCAGTTTATCCATGAAAATTCTCAGTGCAATCCTGTAATTACTGATCCTTATTCCAGTGTTATGAACATATGTCAGCACTAAGTTTGGGTCCATACCTTCTGCCTAATTTACCGCCTATCATATCTATGTGCTCGCGTGCAGCCTTGTTCATTACTTCTCAGGATCTGCTTTCATGTCACCCGTCTAATCCTCTAACTAACTCCCCTGCTTCCTGTTAACAAGGTAAGGTTAAGAGTGAAGAGGTCAGGGCAGCTGAGGTACAGTTTGAACAGTTCATCTGACACTGATGGATTAACGTTCCCAGGAGAGTATAGAGAAGGGGAAAATCTCCTGGAACGAGAAGAACGTTAATGACATGCAGTGGTTGCAGCACTGAAGGACAAGATTGAGGAAGGGACCAGAGAACCCTATAGAGTCCCACAGTGTTAGTGACACTACATACTGATTGTCATGGTCCGGGTGAGTGCCGGGTTTTTCCAGAGTCCATGTTTCCACCTCTAAGCTGAGTTGCTTTGATTTGTTTTGTTTTTTTGTTGTTTTTTTTACATAATAGAGATATAATTAATACCATCATGTTCATTAATGTGCTCATCCTGTCCAGAACAGAGGGGGCCTATTAGAGATGGAGATGGATAAAAAGATAAATCTGGTTTATTTGGTTTCATTTGAAGTGGAACCAGATTCCACTGTTGTTTTAAAAACATTACTTTAAAGTAAACACATTTTTCTTTATTCCTTTATTACTAGTTTTATATAGAACTTGTGTTCCCATTTTATATACTGTTTTTGGTAGATTTTTGGTCTTTTCCCACTAAGCAACATTAATAAAACATACTTATATTTATTTATTTAAAAGTTTCAAATGATCAATGCATTTGGTTTATTATCATCATGTGATTGATGAAACAAAGTATTTCAGACACAGATGTAAACACTTGGGCACTCTGGGACACTTCTGACACCACAGTGCATGGCATGTACGGCATGTACTATTTAATGTCAGCACTGCAATCAGCGCTTCAGTGAGTCATCTGCTTGCACATGCAGGAACACAAGAATCATGTGGCAGCCTTGACATGAGGTTTGGCAGGTTGCCGGAAACAGTAAACACCTCAGTCTGCCGTGGAGAGCAGAGAGATGATCACAAGAACGGGTTTACAATCAGCGACATGCTTTTTTCTTTTAACCCAACCTGTTCACATTGAGGCATCTGTAATGGTGAACGGTTTATGAGGAAGTGATGTGGGGCATGAGCACAGCTGAGCCTGGTACGATGAACCAAGGAACCTCCACTCAGGCAACTCCCTGTCGCAGTATTTGGGTCACACTTAGTCACATTAAATCCGGTTTTCAGGATTAAAACTTGAACTTGAACTAGTTTTGCATGTGTGCTGATATGTACAGTGATATGGATGTTGCATAGCAATTGTAAATGCATTTTAAAAAGTGAAAACAAAAAGAATCTATCCTCTTTTCAGGTTGCATTAGTATTTTAAGTAACAGAATTTTAAGAACATTTTACCATAGTAACAACCTTCGTAATGATAATAATTTAAAACAGTTAAATTCATATCTAAAGCTACTTGTAACTGAATTTATTAGTTTTTTATTATTATTTGTATTGCTGTAAGGACATAAAGTATCATATCTAAAAGCTAAAGTTGTTTTTTTTAGATTGGTACTTAGAATTTGTATGTGTGTGCGTTTGCATAGCTTTGCTCCCACATACATCCACCATAAGTACATCAGCACTGTCAGTGGGCAATGTACAGAGATCACTGGAGGTGATGTAGAGAGAATAGGGTGGGGTTTACTTGGTAAAAGGGGCGTCCTAGAGACGCCGAAGAATCCTTCTATACTTTAAAAGGAAAACATACATACACAGCTCTCATTACAGACCTCCTGCCTCCCCTTCTTTTCTATTGGTAACTTTTATCTCTTATGTCACCACCAATGATGATTCCTTCATCTCTGTCCTGCACCAAAGGTATATAAGCACTGCATTAAGTTGTCACATAGTCCAGTCAACGAATACTCTTCATCCTCAGTGAGACCAGCCACATCAGGTCGAGATAGACTCAAGCTACTCAAATAGCAAGCTGGTATCAAGATGCCTAACACCAACAGAATCATTTCGGAGACGAGGAAGGCAGAAAAAGGTGATTTTTTAAATATATTTTATCTAAAGATATATAACTTTTTTTTCCTTTCCTTTTTCCAGCATGTACATACTACAGTGATATGCTTTAAATGTACTCACTGAGGTGAACCAAACTGCATTTTCAGCAGTGAAGTGTTTTTCATCCTCACAGGCAGATCCTGAGAGAACAGTTGACCAGAGTTTGTCTGTATAAAAATGTCTTTAAAAAAACCTATATTTATTTACAATACTTTCACATTTCTGCTTGTTGTTGATGGGTTTATAATGGTATTATTCCCTGGGAGCAATGGTTTAAAAACAAAAAGCATCATCTGCCTGAACCAGATGTAACCCATGGGAATGCATTTATGTATTATACTGTAAGTTACAAGAACAGCTTCGAAAATGGTCACATGTTTTCAGCCTCCACTGAAAATATCACTTTCATATCTGGCTTAAGTGCCTGTTATGCAACAATTAATCAGTTAGAAATTAAGAGGGAAGTGATTTTGCTAAGATCAGCCTTCTGCATTATTAATTTTAGGGATGCCCATGTTGCATGTGTTGCAATCCATTATCTTCACATTAACTCTGACTTTAATTCAGCTAGGTGTGACTTGACACTTGGATGACTTTCCTATGATCTTGTGACAATAAGCTAGCTTAGGATCTAGATCCCCAACTTATCTGATTTGCACAGACAGATCATGTCACTCTTCTCATCTCATAATCTGCTTTGAGCTTCACGCTGCACTCTAGTGTGACTGAAGCCAACCCCAACAGCATCTGAGATGTCTTGGTCATTCCAACTGCCTGGCATGAATCCACCACTGACTCTGGAAAGCATGCAATCTCTGATGTGATGATCTGACAAAGGCAGATGCTTTTCTAAGTATACCCAGTTTTCCTGTGGTTCACTTCATCACCGCTTGAGATGCACCTGTCACCTAATATTTATACCAGTTAAGAATATTGATGTTAATAAAGGTTTCTTTGGTTTCAGGAAAAAAGGCCAAAGTGGTAAAAACGCCCACAGGTAAGACTTGAATCCTACCACAGGTTGGATTATCTTTTTGATTTTCTTTTTTAAATCATGCCTTCTTTAAAGGCTGGCCCCACTATGGTTCATCTAACGTTTAGTATCTCCTGATATTTATTGTTATTTTACTCAGCAGAGAAGATCCCAGGGTATGAGACAAATATCCCTGAACCCAAATGTAGAGCTGATCTTATCAAATGTAAGTTTGATTGTGCAGGTTTTTTTTTTATAATTCTTTCCAAGCACCATTTGTTAAGTTATTGTTTATTATTATTTATTTTTTGCTTTGTCAGATTGGATTAACTTGTCTCTGGATGACAAAACAGCCAATAAAATGCTGTGGATCACAGAAGGTGGTGCCAAAGTGGCCAGAATGACTGATAACCTCACGTGTCCTGTCTTGGACAGACCAGAGCGATATGAGTACGCTCCACAGGTAGAGTATGAGGATGCATTTAGCCAGAAATGGCATACATTACAAATGTATTTTCTGCTCATTTTAAATGTTTACAATGGTGTAAAATTAGATGTGCTTGGAAACAGTATGTACCCCAAGTTTATTTCAAACCTGAACCTACTGGTGTTGTATTTCCAAAAGGAGAAAGCAATGCTGCTTGTAGTGACATTATCACCTCTGTGCATAAGGTTCTTTGCAAAGAGGGAATCCTGGGAAGCCGAGGCTACTGGGAAATGGAGTATTCTGGATGGGTTGTGATTGGAGTCGCATACGAAGGAGCTGGAAGAAGGAACAAGGATGGGCCCTGTGGCCTGGGAGAAAACGAGGAGTCCTGGGGTCTCGGCTGGAGTGGTTCCAGCTATCATGCCTGGCACAACGGTCGCATTACACAGATTGTGGAGCTTCCCAGGTGCTCCACAATAGGTGTATATGTTGACCAGCCTGTTGGTGTCATTGATTTTTATGCTGTGGAGGATGTGATTGAGGGAGGAGAACGCAATGGGAAAAAGGAGGTTAAACTTTTGAAGCAGTTTAAGAGCTCCTTAAAGGAGAAAATGATGCCAGGTTTATGGGTAGGAACAAACTCTGACTGTGTAATCAAAAAGAAGGAGGAATAAAGGAGTGGAAGCATAGAGGCAGATTATAATCATATCTAAAATTGAGTGGAGCTGAACTCTTGTTGGGTGAGGAGTGAAGTAGCTGTTATCCTATTGCAATAAAGCTGCAATAAGGCTGTTTTATATTTTACCAAAACACTACAGTATCTCTGAGGAAAACAGAAAACATTTTAATCAAGGGAGCAAAGTGCAATTAGAAGATATTCAGAAAGGAGTCACCTTCTGAATGTTGTCCACACTGTTGGATTTTTCTGAAAACACAGGACCACTCAAGGTTTATACTAATATATATGTGTGTATTTGTATTTCTCTATTGTTATTGTTTGCTAAGAATGTATATTTAGTTAGACATAAGTGTATGTAAAATGTTAAATATGAAAAAATGTTAATCAAAAATAAAGTATGGAAAAAGGAGACTTTTTTTCTTTTTTTTGCTAATGTGAATGTTGCTATAGTATGAAGACAGCAAAAATATGCAAAAAAACAAAAACAAAAAGTAGGGACAGAATCAGGATTTAAGCAGTACAGTAGTACACTCACAAGGTGCATGTTAGACTCATTGTAAAATCAGACCAAGTCCCAAATCTAATTGTGATTCCCCAGAGTGCTGCTATGGAAATTACATAAGGCTGGTGTCTAACTGTGTAGTAGGTGTAAAATTTCAATTGGCATAAATGAAATATAAATAAATAAAATCCAAAAGGGATATTGCAACAGAATTAAAATGATGAATCTAAATATTTGAATTAAAGCTTATTTTCTTACCTGGCAGAAAGACTTTCTCTTTATTCCTATTATCTAATATAATCGGTATAATTTAAATTAATTAAACATGCAGCATATTCAAATTTGGATAAATTCGGGATTACATACAATTCATCTTTTTGAGATTTGTTTTTGGTTCTATACTGAAAATGAAATTAATTGCACGTTTTCTGTCTGTGGTCAATGTCTGAAGCTTTTTAAGTAGTTAAAATAAAGTCGTATGCACAGTGTTAAGTTTGCACAACATAAAACTCCTTCAGTGTTGTTCAGTAAAGAAGACTGACTAGAAACTGCTTCCCTGGAGTTTAAAGGGGCTCACTTTGACATGTGAGATGCTCCAGCTCGAACATTAGTTTCTGTCTTTGACAGCTTGACCTTACCTCCCACTGCTTTCAAAACTAAAGCATCAGCTTAATAGGAACTAAAAGTGGCACTCATTTAACTGTTATCCTGCCCACAAGGCACCCACAGACGTCAGTGGTATATCAGCTAAATATGCTGCAATTTTTTTTAATGTAATGTAATATTTAGACAGAGATACTGACCCCTTGGAAGACCCCAGTTGGATGTTAGACATATTGATATAGATTTAACAAGTGCCAAGAAAAGCCCCAGTAAGCAATGCATTCAAGTCAATCAGGTATTTGACACACTTAAACTGTTGTCATTGCTTCTGCATACTGTACATACAATGACAGTCATGTCAGCATTGAGACAGCAGAGGACATACAGACATTACCCTTCCAGAAGCAGGTCAGTAGAAATCTCACTCTTCAAAGGGGGTCAAAATGAAGTCACGTGTAGTCAAATCAATGCTTTCTGTACTTTATCCATTTACTTATTCTTAATTAGTAATACTCAAAAACTGCACCTCTAGCTTTAGGCAGTTAAACACCAACTAAATTGAGCTTAGCTTAGTTTATTTAGGCTATTTCAGTGTGATTCTTGTGATGAGTATATATAAGAATTTACAGCCAGTACAGTTAAACCGATATGACAGGTACAAACATCCATCATTGACCAAAGAAAATGAAACCGGAGACTTGGATCCAAGAGTAATAAAACCCACGGTGTCACCTCACTGCGTGTTTTGGATGTGTATATGTGATCATATGATAGGTATGAGAGTTGGAAGAGTGGAAACTCTCTGCTGGTGTAATGAGCAAAGTGATATATGCTATAAAGCAAATGGCACATATGGTCACACATATAGCATGGCATAAGGAGGATGCAGGGTGAGGGTGGGAGGAATGACCAGCAATCCCTGCTGTTGTGTGAACATGCTTTGCAAACAATACAGACAGAATTTAAAATATCCCTTTAAATATTTTTGAATTGAATGTTAGAACGTTTTATGTATCTTCCCGTAGGAGCGTGATATGATGAGAGTTGGATTTTCTCCAATGTCCTGTTTTCAAACACTCTCCGAGCTTTTTGTGTGCAGCAGATAGAACCAGTTACTGACCAGTACTAAGTTCTGTTTGTTCCAGTGTGCTTCCACAATATTATTCCTTCATGGTTCCGCACCACCTGATCGACAGCAGAAGCTACTCAAGCATTACTGTGATGAAGTTATACTGGTTCCAAAAGATTTGTTGTCACGTATCTACTAGCCCACATTCACACTATCTGCAGTCTAACATGGACTGATAGGGTCACCAGTTTCATGTTGCTCTTTCGCTCCATGTTATCTATACATAACACTTTACACTGTTGTCATGCTCTGCTGCTGGACAAATGTTTCACATGTATACTTTTCTGGTTGCAAGTAGCAATTGTGGCTTTTCTTTTCCAATTGTGGCTGTACTACTCTCTATTTACTATTAAAACATACAATAATAAAGTATTTTAACATGAAGCTAATCAATGTATTTTTTAAACATATTTTTATTTATCATATATGCCCATAATGAAAAGTGCCCTCAGCAGAAACAGTGATGGACGAAATTATTAAACAGCACCACCTGCTGGATCGTACTTGTCAGTACACCACAACAGAAAACCAAACCACGTGCACACAAAAATTGATTTCTCTTTTTTGGATCTTTCGTTTTTGTATGGAACATATGGAACATCACAAAACATGTTAAAGTGCTATTGTGTGTACTTTTTTTCTCTAGAAAATTAATCATGAATGTTGTTTAAGGGAATATGGGGAAAATTATGTTCTATGTTATCACTTGTCACATAGTGTAGATCACGAACTTTAACTATTTTACCTATTACTTCGCAACACAATACTTACAATGAATAACAAATTATTATCTAGAAAAATTGTTTTCATAGTAGGAACTAATTCAAAATGACCTTAAACCTTATTGTAGATTGTAGATAATCTATGTGTGTATTATGCGAGATCTACATTATTAGGAAAAGTCTAATCAATTGAAAATTAAATAAATAATTAATTAACAACAAATTAAATAAATAATTAACACGGTATAAGCTCAATCAGTGAACGGGCATCAAACAAGGTCGCTTTCAAATGACAATACCAATAACAAACCTTTGACCAGAGAAATCTTCCTGTGATTTAATCATCTGATGGATGCAGCTGAATAAAATGTTGTTGGTGTGATTTATGCTTGACCTTTGGCCTTTCAAGCTAATGTTGCCATTTTTTCCTCACTAAAATAAACTGCATTTCCCATAATCCTATGAGAGGGCCCCACAGGTTGTTAAGCGTGTAACAGGAGACTATTAGTAGTCATGCAGCTGTCTGTCACTGCATGCGGGCGACTGCTCACTATGTTAAAAGGGAGTGGTCAATAATTACTGTAGGCTAGCTGATTTGTCCCACGTGAGAACGGGACATCCTGAGCATCCTGGATAAAGACCTTCCTGGATAAAAGCAAATGGCCTGGACACGTGAGCTAATTATAAGACAGCACGATTATTATTGAGTGTTGAGAAATAGCTTGAGTGTTTGCGTCTAGGTCGCAGGATTCTGAAAAGCTCATTTCACAGGAGATACTCTTAGATTAAAGATACTGCCAACCAGGCTTCAGGGCGCTCCTGCTTACACTTGACTTTTCTCTTGTCTCCCGTGTTCTTATCATACCACTTAAAATGCTTTTGATATCTTACTCCTGTGCTACAATAACACCAGCTCTCCTGAGGCATGTGTACACTGCTGATTATCAGCATTCAGCTTCTCTTTGAGTGCCTTTCTTCCCGTTAAGCTTTTGTACATATAAGTATATAACAGGCATAGTTTTAATTACTCTCAATCCGTCAACCTTAAAGCGCTGTACTTTCTTTCTTCTTCTTCTTTTTTTATAGCTGTATTAACGGAGCATCATTAGTTTTCTTCTGTACTCTCTACAATCAGCTATACAAGACGCTGACTTGGCATAGCAGAAAAAATATATAAGAAGGGACCATCTCGGAAAATTATTTTTGCCTAATTGTGGGAGCCTTTCAAGTCTAGACAGGCTAATTATAAAATAATTGGTTATCTTATATTTTAATGCAGCTTCTGAAGGTTTTACATCTGTTCTTAAGGCTTCTTTTTCTTTTAATAATTTAAACTTTAATAGATTTAAAGTGCCTAAACAATCCATCAACCAAATGTCAAATTGCTTTCCTAACTCAAAACTTTACTTTGTCTTGCACATGGCATGGTTTTGGAAGTAAGCCAGAGCCTTAAAGCCTTTGTCTCATTGTGCCCCTCATTCTCTGAATATTTTGGCTTTTATTGGGGGTGCTGACTCAAGACTGGCATCCAAATCTCTGATTGTAGTAAAGCTACACTGAGAATTTAAATAATGCAAGGGGCAAAACAGAAGCACGAGAAAACAGCTGTTTTTTGTTTTTTTTAATGTGTGTGTGGGAATTCTTGAGTCACAAACCCACACTCAGCAAAAGACAGAGAGGCTGTTAAGGGCAGGGCAAGAGGGAGGGACAGTGAAGAAGAAGAGGGGGAGGAAGAAAGAAGGGGCTCACAGAGAGTGCACTGTTAGTGGACAGAAAAACAGACTGAGTGCTAACAGCCAGCGTAGGTAGAGCACCAAGCGAGGACTGCTGCTACAAGTCAGACCAGAGTGAAACAGTCGACAACAGAGAGGGAGATTCACACGTCCACGGAGAGCAGCGGAGTGTAGCAGAAGAGCGTTGTGACTGTTTGGGCAACAGGAGCTCGTGGTAGCCAAGAAGAAGGCTGCCAAGCCTGAAGAGATGCTGTGAGGAACAGTGCCAAGTGATGGAGCTTGAAGCAGCCAGCAGGCAGGCGCGATTAGTCAGGTATATACAGCAATATGGCATCTTTATTAACATTTATGTCTCATGTAGTTCTAGATGGTTGCACAGTTAAACATCACACTTCTTAATCATTTATCTTTATTTAATCTTTGGTCAATAATGTGACAAATTGTGAGCAAAGTTGCTAAAGGTTAACAATACTGTGAAGCAGCTTTGTGGCTGATATTTATTATCTGTGGCTGAAACACTCAGTGGCCCCCTGAGGGACCTCTTTGAACCTGTGCTAAACTTTTCTGTAGTAACTCAGCAAGTTTTACTCTTATAAGCATCAACTTTATGGCTTCAACACCTTAAAATGTGCAGCAACCAGCAATCTCGTGTCCTCAGAAATGACAGCCCAGTTAAGAGTCGAGAGAGTGTCCTACGTCACTGCTTTGCTTATCAAGGTC